GAGGTGAATTGGACTGGCCATACTCTGAGGAAACAAACCATCAGGTGACATCACTAGACAAGCCATTGCTCGAGTGGAACCCGAAAGGGAAACGGCAAGTTGGTCGTCAGTGGGAGGGTGACTCGGAGGAGTTCATGTGTAGAGGAGATGAAAGCATGTGGGGAGACTTGGAGCGGGCTGAAAAAGTTGGCAGAAAACCGAAGGCAATGGAGACGTGCAGCTGAAGCCCTATGTTCCTCTAGGAATTAAAGGATAAAATAATAAATAATTTCCAGATATCTACTCGACAGGGGTCATGAGGTGGAAATACAGAAATCCTTCAAAATTATCAATAGACAAATGACCTCCATTCTCCTCAAGTTAGCCGAAGCAATTTCTATCAAACGCTTGAAACCAGATTTATGTGTTCAGAAAGAAGCAGTTATTAGTCTTTCCTTCCCCATCTTGGTAACTAAATGTCTTTATTCTCTCTTTCATCCGATTACGTAATCTTTGTCTTTAACCTCACCCCTCTTTTTTCTATAATCTGTAGTTTTGCTTGTCTCTCGTTTCTATGGTTTGAGTCCAACTCAGTACACTGTTACCTAACTTATTAGTCACTATGCATCTAACACACATCTCATCTTTATTATGTAACTCCTTTACCATTATGTGAATACATTTATTTTGTTTAAACTTGAACTGCCTGTGTAAAAACCATATACGCGCCATTTTCTGAGCACTGCTTTTTATTAATTGTGGAACATTCTGTCAACTGACATGTAAAAAAAACATTTGCAAGTATTAAAAGTCAATCTGAACGAAGAATATTCTTTTCAATAATTTCTCTTCAGGTTCTTACAATTATAAAATATAACATTTGTGGTCGTTACAATAAAGATAGCCAGGTATGCGGCGGATACATTTTTTAACGTAGAATAACAGATTAGTAGTTATGGTGTGTCAAAATAAATAGTCATATTTGTGTGACAAACGTGCTAGGCTGAAATCGATTAGAAATATTGTAAAACGGGAGACAATGGTGGTGATTAATCATAATGGAATTCAAGTGTTGGTTTGTAGGGATTTGATTGATTTCAGGATTTCATCATGAGCTGACATTAGTTAGAGAACCATTGGAAAACCTGGGAGTACTGGACAGCTGTTTCGTCCTAGTTTGGGACTCTTCAGCAGTACGCACCCACCGGGATTCGAACCCAGGACCTTCCGGTTACAAGGCGAGCTCGTATACCATTAAGCCACTGGGACCCGATCCAATGGTCCTTGAATTCTAACTTCTGCCAATTCACGACATAGCGCGACCGCTAGCCAACGTCTTCGGCGAGTATTTGTCCTCACACCCGACCAGCTGCACCCTACATAATGGAATTGTAGAGTGTGGGGTAGGAAAATTGACAAATCAGTTCAAGGTTATAAAAGGTGTCAGGTGAGTGGCTAGTACAAAGTGGTCTGAGTTAAGCAGGATATAGTAAGACTGGAATGAGAGGTTCATAGTGAGATAACGAATATATTAAATGAAACAGGTGGAGGCATATATTGAGAAAACAGATAATATCACTATTAGTAAGTCCGTACAAATGAAAATTCGATAGTATTGAGGGAATGTTTGCATAAGGGGCATAAATTATGACGAATAATAATAACTGTAATAATAATATTTATAATAATAAGCAAATTAAAAAAAACCAAGAGGCTTAAGGGGAAGGAGTACTCTTGGTGAGAAGAAAAGTCTTCAATCCAAGGTTGGCCACGGTAGGAACAGCGTCTGGACGTGTTCCTTTTGGATACACAGTTCCAGTTTAGTCGATCTTATTGTAACAGCTTCAGCTATGTGTAGGAGACGTAAGCGAACTGTACGTGATAACAAACTTATTAAAGGATTTGAAGGGTAAAGGCTACTTATCACCAAAAACTTTCGAAAACATAAAACCTACAGGGAGTACCATCTCACGTATGTATGGTTTACCGAAAGTGCATAAATCAGGAGTGCCCCTACGCCCCATACTAGACATGTCCCATTCACCCTATCACGAGACGGCAAAGTGGCTGGTACAGCTGCTTCAACCCTTGCATGACGAGTTAGTAAAGCACAGCGTCAAGGATACCTTTCAATTTGTTGATAAGATAAAAAACCTGAACGCGACTGGCAAATATATGGCATCACTTGATGTTTCATCTCTATTCACGAATGTGCCTCTAGTGGAAACAATCGATTATATCTGTGAACAGATTATAGAAAAGAAATTGTGCACTGATATTCCTATCAGTAATCTGAAACAACTACTTGTTAAATGCACAACGAATGTTCAGTTCCTATTTAATAATGAAATATACAGACAGGTTGATGGAGTAGCCATGGGATCCCCACTGGGACCTATTTTCGCGAATATATTTCTAGCAAAACTAGAAAATAGTCCGTTGAAAGAGGAAATAGCGAAAATGGAAATTTATTGTCGTTACATGGATGACACTTTTGTAGTGTACGATGAAGGGTTAAATAGTGATTTGATTTTGAACAACTTCAATAATGCTCACCCAGCGGTCCATTTCACCTACGAAGGAGAATACAACGACTCTCTACACTTCCTCGACGTCCTACTAACGAGAAGAGAGGATGGTTCCATCAAAAGAACCATATTTAGAAAGCTAGAGACCAAAGCCCAGTATACACATTTCCTTAGCTTCGTACCGATGAAATACAAACGTAATCTAATCAGGTGCTTAGCATTTAGAGCGAGGTCTATTTGTTCTGAAGAGTGCGTAGAGAAAAAAGTCCAGATCATCCGAGACATTCTAAGCGAGAACGGATATCCAGAGAAGTTCATTAAAGCCAACATAGGTTATAATAGCCGTAAACATGAACTGACAACTGTGGAGAAAAAGCCTCTGTTTTTACGTCTCCAATTCAAGGGAGATACTCCTGCGGAGATTCTATCCCAACGTTTAACCAGGGCGATCAAGAAAACTTTCTATTCTGCACGTCTGTGTCTATCCTTCACTAGCCGTCCAATGTTCACCCAGCAACTCAAAGATGCCTTACCTAACCTTAGCTCTTCTTCATGCATATACCATTTCAACTGTTCCTGTGGTTCAAGTTATATAGGGCGCACGATTAGGCAGGTTCGTCTACGGGTTCGAGAACACTTACCAGCTTGGTTCAGCAGGGGGGAAATTAAGTGCATAAAAAGCTCGATCCTGTCACACCTGGTCGATACTGGACATCGCATCGATGTCAACACAGCTTTCAGAGTTATATACCGAATTCCGAAGTCGTTATCACGTACAGTTCGCTTACGTCTCCTACACATAGCTGAAGCTGTTGCAATAAGATCGACTAAACCGGAACTGTGTATCCAAAAGGAACACGTCCAGACGCTGTTCCTACCGTGGCCAACCTTGGATTGAAGATTTTTCTTCTCACCAAGAGTACTCCTTCCCCTTAAGCCTCTTGGTTTTTTTTTAATTTGCTTATTATTATAAATATTATTATTACAGTTATTATTATTCGTCATAATTTATGCCCTTTATGCAAACATTCCCTCAATACTATCGAATTTTCATTTGTACGGACTTACTAATAGTGATATTATCTGTTTTCTCAATATATGCCTCCACCTGTTTCATTTAATATATTCGTTATCTCACTATGAACCTCTCATTCCAGTCTTACTATATCCTGCTTAACTCAGACCACTTTGTACTAGCCACTCACCTGACACCTTTTATAACCTTGAACTGATTTGTCAATTTTCCTACCCCACACTCTACAATTCCATTATGTAGGGTGCAGCTGGTCGGGTGTGAGGACAAATACTCGCCGAAGACGTTGGCTAGCGGTCGCGCTATGTCGTGAATTGGCAGAAGTTAGAATTCAAGGACCATTGGATCGGGTCCCAGTGGCTTAATGGTATACGAGCTCGCCTTGTAACCGGAAGGTCCTGGGTTCGAATCCCGGTGGGTGCGTACTGCTGAAGAGTCCCAAACTAGGACGAAACAGCTGTCCAGTACTCCCAGGTTTTCCAATGGTTCTCTAACTAATGTCAGCTCATGATGAAATCCTGAAATCAATCAAATCCCTACAAACCAACACTTGAATTCCATTATGATTAATCACCACCATTGTCTCCCGTTTTACAATATTTCTAATCGATTTCAGCCTAGCACGTTTGTCACACAAATATGACTATTTATTTTGACACACCATAACTACTAATCTGTTATTCTACGTTAAAAAATGTATCCGCCGCATACCTGGCTATCTTTATTGTAACGACCACAAATATTATATTTTATAATTGTAAGAACCTGAAGAGAAATTATTGAAAAGAATATTCTTCGTTCAGATTGACTTTTAATACTTGCAAATGTTTTTTTTACATGTCAGTTGACAGAATGTTCCACAATTAATAAAAAGCAGTGCTCAGAAAATGGCGCGTATATGGTTTTTACACAGGCAGTTCAAGTTTAAACAAAATAAATGTATTCACATAATGGTAAAGGAGTTACATAATAAAGATGAGATGTGTGTTAGATGCATAGTGACTAATAAGTTAGGTAACAGTGTACTGAGTTGGACTCAAACCATAGAAACGAGAGACAAGCAAAACTACAGATTATAGAAAAAAGAGGGGTGAGGTTAAAGACAAAGATTACGTAATCGGATGAAAGAGAGAATAAAGACATTTAGTTACCAAGATGGGGAAGGAAAGACTAATAACTGCTTCTTTCTGAACACATAAATCTGGTTTCAAGCGTTTGATAGAAATTGCTTCGGCTAACTTGAGGAGAATGGAGGTCATTTGTCTATTGATAATTTTGAAGGATTTCTGTATTTCCACCTCATGACCCCTGTCGAGTAGATATCTGGAAATTATTTATTATTTTATCCTTTAATTCCTAGAGGAACATAGGGCTTCAGCTGCACGTCTCCATTGCCTTCGGTTTTCTGCCAACTTTTTCAGCCCGCTCCAAGTCTCCCCACATGCTTTCATCTCCTCTACACATGAACTCCTCCGAGTCACCCTCCCACTGACGACCAACTTGCCGTTTCCCTTTCGGGTTCCACTCGAGCAATGGCTTGTCTAGTGATGTCACCTGATGGTTTGTTTCCTCAGAGTATGGCCAGTCCAATTCACCTCCATTTCTTCCTGCCTATTTGTTTCACAATCGGTTCCTGCTAAGTTGGTTCGCTTCAAGATAACCCTCCTTTTTGCTGATCTTTTCTGGCCGGTCATCTGATCTTGAGTATTGAGCAAAGACAACTGTTAATGAAGGTCTGAAGTTTGTTTGAGATGCTCTTTATGACACGCGAAGTCTCTGATCCATATAGTAGCACTGACTTCGCATTGCAGTTGAAAATCCGGATGTTATTTTTGATGCTGAGTGTTGTTGACCTCCACACAGACTTGAGAGTAGTGAAAGCCTGTCTTGCTTTTTCGATTCTTGCTTCGATATCCTCGTCAGTTTCGCCTGTAGTTGAAATGAAGCTTCCCAGGTAGGTAAAGGAGGTTGTTTCTTTCAGGTCTCTCCCATTTATGCTGATTGTCGTCTGTTGTTGCTGCTGCTGTTGTTGTTGGTCAAGAATCTTCATCACCTCTGTTTTATCTATGTTCACCTGAAGTCCTATTTTCTCTGGATGCTTCTTCTGCCAGCTTGTTGCTTTTCACTTGCATATCTTCCAGTTTGTGGGGAATCAGACATATATCATCATTAGCGAAGACCAGATCCTCCAAGTTTGTTGTGTGGGTTCATTTTATGCCTGTCTCCTCTCTAACAGCTGTCTGTCTCATTATGCAATCTACTACAATCAGGAAATTCATTGGCGATAGTAGGCAGCCAGCTTGTCTTACTCCTATCTTCACTTTGAAGGACTCCGTAAGTTCCCCGTTGTGGATTACTTGGCATGCAGCATTGTCGTACAACTGTTGGATGAGATGTATGTTTGTTGGTGGAACCCCGTAGTTGCTAAGTATTTGCCAAATCACCTCTCGATCGACGCTGTCGAAGGCCTTTTCAAAGTCGATGAAGTTAAGATAGAGAGGTGACTGTCATTCCAAGCTTTGTTCAACGATGATCCGTAGTGTTGCGATTTGATCGATGTATGATTTGTTCCTCTTGAATCCAGCCTGTTCCGGTCGTAGTTTTTCATCTAGGGCTTGTTTGATTCTCTCCAGGATGATGCGGCTTAGTATTTTGCTTGGGATGGACCGAAGCATAATTCCACGTCAGTTTTTGCATTGACTTAAGTCTCCTTTCTTTGTTAGTTTGAATAAGTATCCTTTCTTCCAATCCTCAGATACTTTGCCCTCTTTCCACACCTTCTCTAGCAATGGCGTCATCAAGTCCGCTATTGTCTCGGGGTCCATTTTCAATGCTTGTGCTGGGATTTCATCTGGTCCTGCTGCTTTTCCAGCTTTTAGCATTTTGATTGCATTCAGGACTTCTGATTTGGTCGGGGATCGATGTTCACTGGTAGATCTGCTTCCGTTGTTGGTATTGTTGGGCGCGTTGCAGATGGCGGACGATTTAGAAGTCTTCTGAAGTGTTCAGCCCAGTGTTTTCTTTGCTCCACCTCTCTGGTGATTGACTTTCCATTGTCATCCTTTACTGGCTTAATCTGTGTCGAACTCCCAGGTTTTCCAATGGTTCTCTAACTAATGTCAGCTCATGATGAAATCCTGAAATCAATCAAATCCCTACAAACCAACACTTGAATTCCATTATGATTAATCACCACCATTGTCTCCCGTTTTACAATATTTCTAATCGATTTCAGCCTAGCACGTTTGTCACACAAATATGACTATTTATTTTGACACACCATAACTACTAATCTGTTATTCTACGTTAAAAAATGTATCCGCCGCATACCTGGCTATCTTTATTGTAACGACCACAAATATTATATTTTATAATTGTAAGAACCTGAAGAGAAATTATTGAAAAGAATATTCTTCGTTCAGATTGACTTTTAATTCATTATATGGGAATATTTCACACTATCAAATTTGCAAGTATGTTAAAACGTGTCTGCTCTTAAACCTCATAATTTATTTACGCTGTAAGCCAGCAGCTGATGAGAAGCCAACGAAATAATGGTACAGTAATGGTACCATGTTATTCGGCACACACCACCACTGTTGTTCTTGCTTTATTTAAATTCATCGAGGGAATAAATGCACGAAGGTATTTTGTTATTTCTACATTTCTAACCCCTAATTGCACAATGTCAATCTTCTTAGTTATTATGATGCTACTTTGTTTGTTTTATTTGTCCCCCTGTTTATTATGGCGTTTTAATTCCTAATTTTATTTTTTATTAATTTGACCCTTAACCGGAAATTATTCTGGAACTTTCCCATCCATTTGATATAAATACACGAATGTACAGCCTAGATGGTGACTTTGTTGAAAAGAAAATTTTCTTCGCTGCAATTGTCTTCTCAATAACTCCTATAGCCCAATGTGTATATTCCGTAATAAAGAAGAGGTGAATTTTCTGAATCCCACAGGATCTGACTATCTAAACCTTTACAAATTTTCTACAATTCACAAAAGTGATAACCCATTACATCCAATTCTATCGATGTGTCATTCTGCCATATATTAACTGAAAAAAAAATGGTCAGCTAGCATTTTAAACCCTGTACACAATACACTATGCCAGTTCTTTTTGTGAGGTACATTCCAACTTGTTGGCTATTCTGTAGACATGAATATGAAAGATAACGTAATGTAGTCTTTTAGTGTCAATTCTTGTTTTACTAATTTACCCTTATTCAAGACTGTCTGTCTGTTTTCGATGTAGAACTTTGCACAAATGTGCACCAGTTCAAGTCGCCACACTCCAAGTAGCCCGCGAAGCAAGAGAAGAAACAGTGAGCAGAGGGGTGAGACAAAGGAGTCATAACGAAGAACAAAACAGTTTCATTGGAGATCATAAGTCACAAGGAGTGGATGCATCTGCGCCACTGAGAACGATGAGTTTGAGCCATGTCACCAATTGTTTCCAACCATAGATTTTTACCGTCCCGAGGACCCCAGCCTGGAAGTCTACACCTTCCTACGTGGCTTAGACCAACTGTTGTGGATTTCATTGACTGGTGCCATGTTTTGGTTTGACCACCACATGCTAGCTCTTTTCCAGCCTGACCCTATGTCAGCTAACATTGCTCGTCGAGGGAGGCGATGACTAGGCATACGTAACACATGTCCTAACCATCTCAGTCTTTGTAACTTCACAACTTCGTCGATTGATTTCCCCTGTTTACCTAGAACTCGACGCCTAACTTCAATGTTGCTCACCTTATTATGCCACTTTACACGGGAAATAGAGCGCAGGCACCTATGACCAAAGACAGCTAGTCTTTTCATGTCTTCCATTCAAGACTGTTGATATTCGTGATTAAATATCTCTTAATTGTTTTTTTTTATTTCTTATTCCTTTAACATATTTGAAGTGTCCATCATTACTATTATTATTACCTACTAACAATGTCTATCTCATATTTGAAGGTGAAAACTTTCGACAACTGGATGACACTGCTATGAGAAGCCCAATAGGATTATTGTTAGCTGATTTGTAAATATATGTCATACTGAAAATCTGTCCGATGATTTGATTGCCAAGGTGCCTTTCCATAGGAAATAAGTTGATGATATTATGGCAATACACAATAATAACATAAGAATTATATGGAAAGAAGACGGCTACAGTCAACCTGCATTCGTCGACATACCTTTCAGTTGGACATAGGATGACTCAACAGAACAGTAGATCTATAGAAATCCTACTTGGATAGGACAGTATTTAGAAATCTTGTTATGTCAGAAGAGTAACTCTACACTACTACTTTCCATTCAATAATTTTATTCATCCAAAATAGTAATAATAATAATAATAGTGATAGTAAAATAGTAACAATAAATGAACTAACATACAAGACAATTAAGTAAGAGAAAAAGAAAAACAGCCATTCGCCTGCAGATGAGAAATCACACACAACAGAATACCAATTTGTTTCAGTATAGCTCATCATACAGTATAATAATACACACATTAAACAGAAATAATGAAGGATAGATAGATAAAGACGAGAAGGGCAGAAAAGAAGACGATAAAATAAAAATAACTTCACAGATGACAACAATAGTGGTCTCAAGTATCAGAAGTAACAAAAACGATCAATGTGAAAGAGTGGAAAGACGAATTGCCACACACACACAATTGAAACACAAACCCATGTATGATATCAATATAAGTAATAGTAATGGTAATAATAATAATAATAATAATACGTGTATGAGCTGAACAACTTGGAACAAAAAAGACAGCAATAATAATAATAACACCCTTTACACTTTGTGCACATTGCTGCTGCTGACCGTGGCAGTGGTAGGAGGAGGGGACAAAAAGATGATCAGTAGAAACAGTGTGTCGGGGGGGAACACCCCCCGGCTAGAGAAAGTGCGTTTTTGGTGGGTTTAAACAAAAAAGCCAATAGACAGACAGACAAACAAACAGAAAAAACACCTGAAGAACAACAGAAGTAATAATAATTATTATAATAACAATAATAGTAATATTCTATGTACAATTGTTGCTCACAGTATGCCAATGAACAAAATTAAAGGCGCAGAGTATCAATTCACAAGAGGGAGACAGCGAGAGTGACTGACTGACTGAGACAAGAAAGATACTTACTCGCTTTTGTGCTACAACAAACACGCACACATCATTCTATACTCACAGTTTAGTGCGTAACAAGAAGTCGGAGGATGATCAGGGGGTCTATACTTTCTTTGAAAATTTGAAATAACTATGGGGTGTGGTGGGGCGGGGGGCTTATATCTTCTCTATACAGAAATTTATATCTAAATTAATAGTAATTGTTGTTGCCGTAATAGTAATAATAATAATACAAAAATAATTCAAAAAAAACAAAATGGTAGAAAAAGAAAATCTTCAATTTATGCAACGATAAATAAGTAAGCAAGTTTATTTAATTCTTTTCATACAACATATACACACACACACACACATGAGACAATAGTGCTGACAATTACTGTCACAAAATAATAATAATAACAAAGCACAAAAACTGACTGAATTCACAAGTGTGTCTGTGTGTGTGCTTGTGTATTGGTGTTTTTTAGAAAGACTATCATTGCAAACAGGAAGTATATGCCTCCTATTCACTTCTTGCGAGGATAAAAAATAATAAGGAGACGGAGAAGAAGAATCATCCTTCCTTCCATTTTATTTTAAAACGTGTCATTTTATTTGTTCCACGCCTTACATCACCACTGGATGTATCACCATTTGTGGGAGCTGCGGCCGCTGATGTTGACAATGATGATATACTGTGATTGTTGTTAGCTGATGAACTGAATGAAGATAAATTATTATTAACATTATTTGAAAGATTATTAGTAGAAGGGACTGTAAAGTGACTATTATTATTATTAGTATACGATGCTGGCATACCAACATTACGAATATCAGATGATGGTATGGGTGGTAAAGACAGGGCAGCATTCAACCGACTGCCTAATTTCGGTGGAGAATTCATACGAAGAGGTCTACTGTTGGAATCTGTTGCCGCCGCCGATGCACGTAGATAAGAAGAATTATGCAAAAAGCCAGTAGTAGTAGTAGTAGTTTGCTGTTGAGCAGGACTGGTGAAATTTGAATTGGGTGTAGGAAACCGTGTATACGACGAATTAGGCATAAAATTAGCAGATCGATTGTAATCTAGAGAATGATTTACACCAGTTGTTAGGGTTTCACGCAGTGTACCAGCACCACCCCAGTGTCGTTGATCAGGCATTCTTTGATGATGATGAAGTGATAAACCACCAGGAGGGATATTTTTATCAGTGCCATATGAATAGGGAGACGACATACCACGTCCAAGAACAGAACTCCCACCGCGTTGATTAAACATTGACGCTGAACGATTATTACCCCACATTCTAGGACGTTGAGGTAATCGTGAACAAGGTCTTTGACCTCTAGGCCAAGGAACACAAACATTATCAGACGAAGCAAGAAAATTATTATTTCGTATACTAGATGAATTTTGATTACGAGGAAATATTGACTTGGTTGAAGAGTTGTCCTCAGGCAATTGCGTTTGTCCTGCTTCAGGTGGTAATGATAAACACGCCAGCACATCTTGTACACATTCTTGTGGAATCAGTGAACCAATAATACGCTTTCCATCTTTTGATTTAAGACGTACAACTTGCATACAACGATTAGAATTTGAACGAAATTGAAGTACTGGTTCAATTCTTGCCCAAACATTTAATACTGATCCACTGAGAACATAATAATTACGCATTCGTAAACCAACTTCACAAGCTGTTCGATTTTGAACACTTGTTGAACAAAATCCATGAAGTAACATATGAATACAACGCTTTGCACTTTCTCTAAATATTCGACTCCAAGGTTCTTGACAATCAGATGCATTAGAAACACGCTTATAGCGTTCTTGTAATTTTTCTAGTTCAATTGGTTTAGCCTGTAATCCAGTATTTGGACGATATATACGATATAATTTCGATTCAGATGAACTTGTCACTCGTGAGGTACGAGATTTCACATATACAGCAAGAATAGGAATAACAAGTTTGTTACTAGTAGACGTTGAAGGTAAATAAAAACCATCGTGTATACCATCATGTTGAGTGTATATCTCCATAGCACTTGACCAAGTTAAACCGCGTTCAGCTGTCACTTTATGTAAATGAACCTGAGTAGATTCGGATAAAAACCAGGTATCGAAACTTTTTGTCCATGCTATATCTAAATTTTGTCCAGTTGTACCTAAATCCATAATGCCTAAATCCAATTGATTATCACGTTTAGCACGTCTGGTAATCTCTTCCAGTGTATCAGAGAAATATTGGAATAAAGCATTTTGAATATTAACGCGTATGCCCAGTATACGGTTGAGAAATTTTGACATTTGATTACTGTCTTTTTCACGATATCTACCGGTGGCTAAACCCACACCTTGTAAACTGGCTCTAACATCCTGGAAAAATGACTGTATGCCTAGTTTTTCTCGATCACCAGAAGAGTCAAATGGTGAACTAGACATATAGTCATTTGGCGGTTCAACTAATCCTTCCTCTCCCAAAATACAGGCTCGTAATACTACTTCCAAAGCTTCCCGACCGAGTTTAGTATCTAAGTTGAACTGTGACAAATCACGAGTTTCTGTAGCTCTTCTATCACCATGCGTCAAAGCACCAAGTGACTCCAGACGTTTAGCAACTGTTGATGCAAAGCGCTGCTCACCAGCCAAGTTGGAAATCAGGAAGATATACTTAGGAGCACTGACTTGATTGGAACGATGCGTACGACCAAACTGCTGAACAGCACGATCTGCACTCCATGGAAGTTCTAGAGTAATGTGAACACGTCGACGTTGATTAATCGCTCGTCGATCAGCCTGAAGAGAAATACCACTACTGGCAGCCTCAGATATAATAGCGATTAATTTTTCACCATCCATGAAACGTTGTTTCTCTGTTAGATTAAGTAATTCCAAATTGACATCACTTTCCCGACGAGATTCATACGATACACGACCATCATCTCCCATTACCATTCGACCTTTCCTACCGGTCATTTCAGCAACTTTTGACGGTCCACCCAACTTATCAATCAATTCATCAAGAGAACTTGGAGGTAATTTAGCACCCAATTTCTCGATAAAACGCAGAAGTAGATTTTGCATTTCAGTACACTGTCGTTTAGCCTCCTCTGGTGAGACTTTTGTTTCACTACTCACAGCCAATGACTGGTTTGATGAACCTCGTCCCATAAGATACTGTTGTGATAGTTTACGCGTGAATTCATCACCCCATATATCATCATTGACGTGTTTGTTACTTCCATCAGATCGTTTAGTTAGGCTACTATGATCGGAACCTGGAGTGCATAAATTCATATTACGAGCTAAAAAACTATCGAACAACGCATCAGGATCCCAATCTTCATCTGAATCATCAGATAAACCACTCGGTGAATCACCATCACGTGTATACTTTTGTTTACGTCTATCAGATGATTGACTTTGTTGTTTTTTACTGGAATTTGATTTTTTTGATCGTTTTTTATTCGAATTCTCCAAGGATGAATTCAACTCTAAATCAGAATCATAGTAATCTGAAGAAGATGAATTCCCTCCGAGTGGATTAACACCACCATTAACTTTTACAGTATTATTAAAATCAGAATCTTCATCATCTTCGGATTCTTCAGAATGCTCATCATCATTATCATCAGAATCAGATCCTTTATCTTCAGGCTTGTTAGCACCACCACCACCTTCAAAATCACTATCAAGATTAGATCCAGATAAACTGCCGCCGGCAACCAATTTGGCAAGCATTTTTTCGCCAAGAATATCTTTCAATCCAAGTCCACTGCCTTGACCAGCTGCAATTGCACGTCCTGCTCTGCTGAGGGTTGTGCTAGAGCTACGATCACCTGCAGAGGCTAATTTATCTCCTCTAAGTGAGAAATTATCTACATTTGTTGGTGTTGGAAAATACTTTTCAACTAACGATTGAAATACACCCCTGAAAGCAGAATAAGAGAAGGAGAGAACAATACTATGAATACGCGAAAACAAGGACATAAAATAGAGATTGAATTATGAAAGCAAAATTAAATTCAGGTGAATGCAGCAGCAGCTCTGACAGGCAAACTTACGGATGAACGGTGAAGTAGAACACCATGGTGAAGAATATGACGCTATAGATAGTAACTTTGATGAAGCTTATACAAAAGATATTGATTATAATACATACTATAATACTCGTGTTGAAGCATAAAACATTCCCCCTGTTTTATCACATAGTTATATAATGGCTGAATGGTTTTTTATCAGAAGTCAGCCAATGGTCCAAGGAAAACGGTCTCACCTTAAACCACTCCAAATGTTAAACAGCCAACTTCACCTTTAGGCATAAATCTGACCTAAATAAACTGGTCAGCACCCACGAGGTGTGCATCACAGATGGCACTGATATTGAAACCAAGTCAGAAATTAAATACTTAGGCGTCATTCTATGTGCTGATTGATCTTTCTTGGTCGTCTTATATCTTGACGATTTCGAAGAAAATATTCCGTCTTGGCGTCTACATCAAGAAGTTAAGACATTCTGGTATAACCCAACCCAACCCTTACTCCTACAATTCGTTAACTCTCGCATTCTGCCTATTATTCTCTATTGTTCTGCCTTAGTTTTTCCAGGACTGGCTACTGAAGAAAGACTATACCTTATTAGGCAAGATGTTAAAGGTTGTCAGCAGGCTAAGCAATGTGTCACTTAACCAGCCTGTTAATATTCTGGTCGACAGACACTTGGACTCATGTGAAAAATGGGCAAAATCCATTCTATCTGTCTAACTCACACCACCCTCTTCATTCACAACTCTCCCCTTGTATCTCATCAGTCCAAACCACAAGCCTATATACAAAACTATACGCTCGCACTATCAAGTACAAAAACTCAACTATACCCTACTTGTCTCGTGTTCTGTGTGATAAAGAAAGCATTAGGCGTGATAGGTTCAGGTTGGAAAAGAGCCAGTGGTGGCCAAACAAAAACATGGCATCAATCCATGAAATCCTTGACAGTTAAACTGAGTCAGGTAGGGAGATGCAGACTCCCGGGTTGGGGCCCTCGGGACTCTAGGAATCAATGGCTGGAGACAATAGGTGACATGGCTCAAAATCGTTGTCAATGGCGCAGATGTATTCAATCTCTGTAATCTTTCATATTCCTTTCTACCATAACCCATTCTGTTTCACTCCTATATTTGTCAAACTCTATTAATTCTCTCCACTCATCTTCTTGTCTACCTCTGTGTGCTATTTGGAACGTGGCAACTCGAACTGCTGCACTTCGGTGCCAAGTTCTATGTTGAATCCAGACAGACAGAGGCGTGAAACTTATGTCTTATTAAATAGTCAGTAGAACAACTGGAACTCAACTTTCCAACTCATATCATATATAGGTACAACGTTTTCTTTCTCTCTTTTTTTTCTGTTATGTGCTGCTTTGTTTCTTTCTTCTGCTTACGCCAGTAAATTATACTACCATCTACTTTTCGAACACCTTCAAACACTGTTCAATTTTGGCTTTGCTACCGATATGTCAATATGTTGTTGTCAAAACTAACTGAGATTTCCCATAATGTATGTAGAATTTTATTTATTGGTTATGCACTAACTGGATGCAATACTGTAGTGAAATGCTGAGAATTCCATTCGGTATCTCAAGTACTGTATGGAATAAAGCAAATTATTATTATTATTATTATTATATAACCAGTGTCTGTGAGTTTGTGATTCAAGAGTGGAAAATTTGTCAACTACTACTATCCACATGGTCAGGTTTCAACTACCGATCGAGATAATTCTAAACCTCTCCGAGTCGGGTATTAATGAAGCCCCACAAATTGGGAAGGTCGGACATGAGACGAACAATCAATCCCACCCAGAAAAAACAGCTCACCCCAGTCTACTGGAACTTTAAAGTCTGAAGCCGTATCTTCTAATCGGAACGCAAAGAAATGAAGAAAACGAGTGTTTCGGTTCAATCAACCAACCTCTGTTGGTTCAAGTAGTCAGCCAATGGGACATGGTATTCAAGTCCTAATCTTCAACTTACCTAAAGTAGTTATCATCAGTCCATACACGACAAGTGTAATCTGTAGAGCTTAGTACAAGAAAGATGTGCTCGCAGTAATCAACTCCAGGTTATTTGAAACACCACCACCACCACCTATATCACTGCAGATATTTTGGCACAACGATAACCTTGATGTATATCCAAATTGTATATTACAAGGAAAAGAACTACCACTTTTTATCAGAAAGTCAGTCACATTATATGGTTTTTTAATTCATCTGAATGTCAAGGAGAGAGTAACAACTTACTTTGCTGTTGATACAAATTCACCTAAATCTGATCCATATTCTTCAACTTGTTCTAGTGTTTTCGCTTCACCAGTTGATTGTAGACCAATGACTACACACTGATAGATAGAGTAGTAAAGAAAACACAGGGAAGACATAGATGTTTATTAATTTACTAAGACAAATAAGTCTGGTTATTTAACTGAGAATAGTTTTATCTATATTTTTGCCGAACTCTCAGAGCCAATCAAAGCTGACATGCACTAACGCTTATCGTAAGCTTAGCGTAACTGATGGAACATGAAATCTTTCTGTACACCAATAGCTGTAGTAATACAGTTACTAAATAATAACAACAACGCGAATAAGTGAACACTAGTCATAAGTGATGGAGTATTCCTTAGTCATACATCTTCACAGGTTCACTGGATGGAAGATTTCTTGTTCTCCTCGCATTCATACAACATTTAGAGGGCAACATGAACGTAATGTGTAAATAAAACGCCAAAATGTATGCTAACCAATGGATAGTAAATCAGAATTAAACAGTGACAAAGACGCATATGAGGCCTTACATGGCGGGGATAGCTTTTCATTAAATTGTGCTATTTGATTGCATGGGGAGATTTCATCATGAGCTAACACTGGTTAGAAGACCATTGGAAAACCAACTGCGACTATAGGACAGCTGTTTCCTCCTAGTTTGGGACTCTTCAGCAGTACGCAACCGCCGGGGTCTGAACCCAAGACCTTCTGGCTACAAGGCGAGTTCATAGACCATTGAGCCAGTGAGACCCGATCCAATGGACCTGGATCGCTGGAAAGAGCCTTATGAGGAGCAGTTTAATTGGCCCACAGCCTCGCTTAACCTTCCGAACATCCAACACCTCCCTGAATGGGATATAGACACAGCTCCTCCATCCCTAACTGAGGTTACTAAAGCTGTCACCAATCTGAAACTAGGCAAAGCAGCGGGACCTGATGGAATGACTCCAGAGGTATTTAAGTACGGTGGAGACAGCTTACTGTCTGGATTAACTGAGGTACTAGGTAGCGTCTGGGAATCAGAAGAAGTCCCATCGGGTTGGTGTAAGTCACTGATTATCCCCATATACAAGAAGGGAGACAAGTCTTCCTGTGATAATCACAGAGGGATTAGCTTGACTAATATAGTATCTAAAGTCTTAGGCTCAATAATCATGCGTAGACTAAGTGGTGCTCGGGAAGCACAAACACGAGAGAGCCAGGCAGGCTTTAGACCAGGAAGAGGGTGTATTGATCATATCTTCACCCTCCGACAGATTCTAGAACATAGGCATTCCTACCGGCGTCCAACAATCATTATATTTCTTGACCTAAAGGCAGCATTCGACTCTGTCGATCGAGAAGTTCTCTGGAGATGCTTGGCTGTAAAGGGAATTCCGAGAAAATATATTGCACTGATTAAGGCACTCTACTCGTACTCATACAGCCAGGTGAGGGCTTACGGCGAGCTGTCATCTGAACTGATGACGACCAGTGGTGTCCGTCAAGGATGCCCATTATCTCCTTTTCTATTCAACTTCATCATAGATGTGTTAATGGACTTAACCCTAACTGACTTCAGCGACTCAGGGATTGACTTGCTACCGGGGAATAATCTCGTTGACTTGGAATATGCAGACGATATAGTCCTTCTAGGCGAAGACGCTGACGAAATGCAGAGTCTTCTAAACACCTTGAGCCGCAATCTACGAATGTTTGGCATGCGATTCGCTCCCGCCAAATGCAAGATGATGTTACAGGACTGGACTACATCGACTCCTAGTTTAAAAATAGGAAGTGAAGTGGTAGAGCACGTTGACCGCTTCACTTATTTGGGAAGTACCACCAGCCAACGCCAACGGGTTGATCTCTGACGAAATCTCAGCACGAATACAGGGGGCTCGTTTCGCATTTGCCAGTTTACGCCGACTCTGGCGTAGACGAGATGTTCGACTATCGACCAAAGGGCGGGTGCACTGCTCATCAGTCCGCTCCGTCCTCCTTTATGGCTAAGTGAGACCTGGCCATTGAGAGTGGAAGACATGAAAAGACTAGCTGTCTTTGATCATAGGTGCCTGCGTTCTATTTCCCGTGTAAAGTGGCATAATAAGGTGAGCAACATGGAGGTTAGGCGTAGAGTTCTAGGTAAACAGGGGAAATCAATCGACGAAGTCGTGAAGTTACAAAGACTGAGATGGTTAGGACATGTGTTACGTATGCCAAGCCATCGCCTCCCTCGACGAGCAATGTTAGCGGATATAGGGTCAGGCTGGAAAAAAGCTAGCGGCGGTCAAACAAAAACTTGGCCTCACCAGTCAATGAAATCCACAACAGTTGGTCTAAGCCATGTAGGAAGGTGTAGACTTCCAGGCTGGGGTCCTCGGGACGGTAAAAATCTATGGTTGGAAACAATTGGTGACATGGCTCAAAATCGTTCTCAGTGGCGCAGATGCATCCACTCCTTGTGACTTATGATTTCCAATGAAACTGTTTTGTTCTTCGTTATTACTCCTTTGTCTCACCCCTCTGCTCACAGTTTCTATTATGCTTTTCTTATACTTTCTTCTCTTGCTTCGCGTGCTACACGGAGTGTGGCGACTTGAACTTCCGCACATTTGTGCAAAGTTCTATGTCGAAAACAGACAGACAGAATGGACCTTGAATTCTAACTTCTGCGTGACCATTACGCAATGTCTTCTCGATGAGTTACTGCCTCATCTTCAACCTCCTGTACCCTACTGGTCAAAGCAGTCCAGTACTTCCAGCTTCTCCAGTGGTTCTCTAACTGATGTCAGCTCATGATGAAATCCTCCATGCAATCAAACCAAACAAACTTACAAAACCAATAAATGAAAATTGTGCTATCTTGAGATACCGCCCTTAAGTGACTATAAATGCCATTCCAATAGCTCTCTCATACTGCTCAATGTTTGCTAGCCCAGGGAATAAGCGGAAAATACAGAATGGTGGTCAGGCTATGAAATACTTTTAAGGGATAAAAGATAGACCACCTAGGTAATCTCCCCTGAGAGATAGTCCGAAGCAGCGGCTGGAGCCATTACCATATACCACTGAGATTCGTAATCACTGGCGAACACCAAGCTACAATGCCCTCTTTTCTTCTTATGGACGCTCTTCAAATACTCTTTCTTGATAAGAACCCTTGCTAGCCTTTATAACAGTGAATGCATATGCACCATTGGGAACGATTTTGAGCCATATCACCAATTGACTCCGGTCACTGGTTTCTGTCATCCTGAGGACTCCAACCAGGTAGTCAACATCTCGCAGCGTGGTTGATTTAAACTAACTGTCAAGGATTTTATTTACAAGCTTTTTCCAGCCTGACCCTATGCCAGTCGGCTAACATTTTCTATTGAGAAAGGCAATGATTAGGCATACCTAACAAATGTCCTAACCATCTCAATCTATGTAACTTCACAACCTCGTCGATGCATTTTCCCTTCTTACATAGCACTCGACTGAAGCCTAACTTTAATACTACACACCTTAGTATGCCACTTAACACGGAAGATAGAACGCAGACACCTATGATTAAAGACAGCCAGCTAGCCAGGTTTTTCATGTCTCACAGCCGTACAACAGTATATAACGAACTGCTGAGTAGTACACATGCCTTTTGATCGACAGCCAGCCAGATATCACACCTACGTCAGAGATGGAGTAAGTTGGCGTAGGCCAGACGAGCCTTCTGTATCCATGCTGAGATTTCGTCAGTGATCAACCCCCTGGCACTGGCTGATACGACTCCCCAAATAAGTTCAGTGGTCAACGTGCCCTACACCACTTTACTTCCAATCATTAAGCTATGGATAGGTGTACTCCAATCCATCAGCATCATCTAATATTTGCCAGGAGTGAATCGCATGTCAAACATTCGAAGATTCTCTCTCCGAGCTGGTTACAAGAACACAACCAAAGGAAAATGGTGAAATTAAACAGAAATGAGGACAATGGACATCCCTGATAGACGGATGAATCAAGAAGGCAATTGGATAAATACCAGACGTATCCCCACTACCGAATTTGAAATAGTTAAGAGACTGACACATGAAATGCATACCTCAAGAGAGCTTGGATACCATCATAATGTATAACATCGACACAACTTTAGGTTTTTTAAAAAAAGGCGATAATTTTATCAAGCTAAAAACATTTATGAAGCAAATAAAGAAAGAAAGAGAAGTTCTGTACTCACTTTACCCTCTTCAATGGCATTTTTAGCGAATTCAACACATGTGTCCACTTTGGCAGCAATACAAAGATATTTGAAAAATCGTTGATGAGCAGACCAAAATTGTCCCCACATAGTTTTACGATAACGATCACTGAGATTTAGCAAGCGTGATGCTTCAGTGAAGAAACGGTATGCATACACCCACTGAAAAAACAAATTAGAAAAAGGGTTAAATTGATGATAAGGTGTTGAAAGACAAATCATTTCAGAGAAAAGCATTTCAATCATAAATATTCACCACCAGTGGGAAATTTTATGTAGTGTACAACAACTGGCACTAAGAATCAATTGCTCAGTACATTTCTTATTATGCAAACTTTGTAGGAGATACACGAAGATAGCCGATATATATTTCTAGTAAATATGAATTGAGTATTATGACATATTTATGAAGACTAGACACCGGCGAACATTCAGACATCACACGAAAAAAAGTAGTGCAATGCATACAAAAACAATTGGCTTCCACGTTGAGTAATATTACCTGACAAAGGATTGGGTTTGTAAAGAGGTAGAAATGCCAAGCGAATCGCATGCCAAACATACGCAGATTGCAGCTCAAGGTGTTCAGTAGACTCTGCATTATGTCAGGGTCCCCACCCAGGTAGGCGGACTATGTCATCTGCATATTCTAAGTAAACGAGATTATCCCCTGGTAACAAGTCAATCGCTGAGTCGCTGAAGTCACTTACGGTTAAGTACATTAGTACATCTATGATGAGACTGAATAGAAATGGGGATAGTGGATATCCCTGTCAAACGCCACTAACTGTCACCACTTCAGATGACAACTCACCATAAGTCCTCACCTGGCTGCATGAGTTCGAGTAGAGTGCCTTGACCAGTGCAATGTATTTACTCGACATTCCTTTTACAACCAAACATCGCCAGGATGCCTCTCGGTCGACAGAATCGAATGTCACCTTTAAGTCAAGAAATATGACGCTTGCTGGACGCCGGTAAGTATGCCTATGTTCCAGAATCTGTCGAAGAGTGAAGATATGACTAATATGTCCCCTTCAAGGTCTAAAGCGCGCCAGATTTTCTCGTATTTGTTTCTCCGAGCATCACTTAATCGATGCATGATTATTGAGGCTAAAACTTTAGGTACCACATTAGTCAAGCTAGACCCCCTATGATTATCACAGGAAGACTTGTCTTCCTTCTTGTATATGGGGATAATCAGGGACTTACACCAACACGACGGGACTTCCTCTGATACCCAGACGCTACCGAGTACTTTAGTTAACGCAGACAGTAAACTGTCTCCACTGTATTTAAATACCTCTGGAGTCATTCAATTAGGTCCCGCAGCGTTACCTTGTTTCAGATTAGTGACAGTTTTTGTAACCTCAGTTAGGGACGGAGGAACTGTTTCTATATCCCATTCAAGAAGGTGTTGGATATTGAGTAGGTTGAGCGGGGTTGTAGGCCAATTAAACTGCTCCTCAAAATGTTCTTCCCAACGTTCTAGTCGTCTATCCTGAGAGCTAATTATAGTGCTACTTTTCTCCAAGATTGTTTCACTTATCATTTGCCTTTTCCCACCTGTTTCCCTGATACGTCTAAATAGATGTATGGTATTATCAATCGCCGATACCTTTCTCATCTTTTTCGCTTGTGTTGCCCACCACTGTTCACTGTTGTTTCGGATGCTTCTCGTTGGTTTGCGTTTGAGTAGCTTTCACTCCTTATCATAATCGGAGGTTGCCGGAATCAGTCTTCTCGCATCAATCAGTTCGGATGAGATAGTAGAGATCCAATGGCTCTTTCTAACTTTACGTTTCAGGTTATGATTATATATTTTTGATTAGACACACGTTAGTAACTAGGTTAATGTGTTTAGTCCTTTCTTTGGTGTAAACTGAATTCTATCAGTCAAGCTTGCAACGTGGCCACCACCGTGTCAGGTGGCTCGTCATCACGGTGTCCAAATAGCTTGGTGGTAACTCCTCTGACTGCCACACTGGGTGACGCAGGTATCAATATCAGAAGGGATACCAGTTCCTTCACGGTTGAAGATATGGCTTCTCGTTAACTGGTGGTAACTAGCACGAAACCTAGTTGCAAGGCTTTCTGACGACTGCCTCCAAACATCTGACATGATTACAATATATATACTACGCAACCGGAGGAAAAGAATGAAGTCTTTCAAGACAAATCTACTGAAGTTCATCACTAAGACAAATTATTGTATTTTTTAAAAATAATGATGATAACTGACAGATAGTAAATGTACGCAAAGAAGAGGAATATTTGTAAACATGGAGCTAACTGAATTCGAATACAAAAAAGTAAAAAAAGAACAAAATTAAAGAGAATACTTACCAGATCGGTAGACTGATTATATACATGAATAAAACTATCATTCCCCAATTTAACATTTTCGATATGCACTTCTTGAATACCAAAATGTACACCATGAAAACTAAGCTGACGAGCAATATACATTCCACGCAGTTTCATATCCATAGCAACTAACTCCATGGCGCCTACGCCTCGACGTTCAAGGGTTTGAATGAATGAATTGAATGTTTTGAACGGTGTACCTTCACCCCATAAACCTAAACGTGTCATATAGGCCATATTACGTGGTTCAGTAGCACCTGTTGCACTAGCGTAGACAATCCTAGCATTTGGTAATCTGTTCTGTAATTCCAGGACAGTTAAACCAGTTTTTGTTGGTTTTTGAGATCCACTTGGTGTAAGATTCTTGGCTCGATGACATTCATCAAATACAATCTAAAAAACCAGAAAAAGGGGAGTTTGAAAATAAAATCTAATAAAAATTTGGGAAAAGGAGGTTTATTATAGGCATTTATAACACGACTTTCTTAGTTCACACTAGCCCTCACTAAACGACCTGGTACAGCCAGGGGTGGGTAGACTTCGGTCGTCCTCTAGAAATGCTCTCATGTGACGACGCATCCATAGACTCTGACAGGTAAGACCTGTTCTCTTCCTTCACACAACAAGGATGTTCCCCACAAAACTGAAAGAGTGAATGAGAACATGCGGCATTAACAACCGGACTGATCTACATCGAAGTCTAATCTAGAGGCGTTGAAAAACCCTGATTCCACACCTATGGTGTCTACAGGCTCCAGAATCCGATGAAACGAATGGCGCATGAACCTGTTTTGGTATTCGGACACTATGGGAACGTAGCTCCTGACACTGCCCCACCGTCTTGTGAGTCAGGCTTCAAGTCAAAGGCTCAGGGAGGGGTGGCTGCCTTAAGACAACCATCCGATTTGGTCTAAACGTCCGGGGGCAGCATACCAAACAAACTATGAGATTTTGTGTGGAACATCCTCTTGGAGCTCAACAATATACCAAGTTTGTACTTTAGACAGTAGCTAAAAGCTGCTTGAACCTTGGATAAAAATGTTTTCGCTTTAGAGTGCGCATACGGTGAGGAACAATTTACTCCGAACTAATCTGACACACTTTAACAGTGAATAAAACTTACGATGTATCTGATACCGAAAAGTAAACGCGTAGATTTATTTTTTGAAACAACTGACAACTATATAACATTCATTCATATATCAAGTAAAGTGGGTGAGAGATTAAAAAAATGGAGTTTTATATCTCAAGATGACTGAAGATTCGAACATATCAATCACTTAAATTTAGAAGAGTTTTCAAAGAGGTGACAATAGTATAACCATGATTTCAATTACCACAGTGACACACTATGAACATGCCAGGAATATCACCATAACTTCAAAATATTATGTTAAAAAGTGGATCCATATAATTACCTAATTACTAATTAGTTATGTTCAAGTTAATCGAGTTCTGAAAATGGTTTTAATGTCTTCTCCCGCTCCCTCCTCCACGCCCCATGTCTTCATCAGCATACATTCGCTACAGTTATAGTGACTAAAATCAATACACGTTAGCATGACTAATTATTAGCTGATATATCAAAGAAGTACTTTGCGAAGAAGTCAACTAGTTTAAATAATGGACTTTTATCCCGACCCAAAGCAGCTACCTTGACGTGATGGTCGGGCTTGAACACCGCAATGACCAAACAAGCTATACTGGCTGAGACTTATGTCTCTTGAGGTCCTACCATGCCGGAAAGGTTGTTTGGATAGCGGTTAGACAAAAAGCAGCTACCCAATCCAACACTATGATACAAACAAACTCACAAAATATCATGCCGGATCGGTCTGGGCCCGGATCAAGAACAACCGCGCTTCCTGCTGCCGTGTCACAGGGCAGAAGTGATATGCTACTGAGACATACCAAATAAAAAAGAACAAACAAAAACAGGCCGCATGTGACTGGCCTCAAGCAGTTGTCCCCTGGGCTCTGCGGTCACGCAACACTCTCTGTTTCAGGTGCCCGAAGAATTAATCGACTTCCACGGTGTGGGCGGCCGGGAAGTAACAACTGCCCACACATTTCCAAAAGCACACGAAGCCTTCCTGAGCATCATTCCCCTTCATTCACATTACCTTTCTGATCTTGCTTCTCTACTACAGTTAATACTATTCTGCAGGATAATGAGTCATATTCACTTCACTCTGTGACCACGAGCAACGGTGAGAGCCATAGAAACACCCCAGACAGCCTCTTAAAGCCACATCACCAACTTCATATAGGAGCATTTAACGTCAGGACCCTCTGCCAAATCGGACAACAAGCATCACTAGCAATAACTCTCGCAATGGACTTTTGTAGCCATACTATATATAAAAAGAACACATATTCTTAGAATTTAGAAGGTGAAAAGAGTGATTAACTGACTGATAGAGTTTCAACGCAGAGAAACCTATACCGCAGTGCACCAGTTCAGTTTATCACACTCCATGCAGAATAAAAAGGTAACCAAAAAAGGGAGGATACTCAAAACAACTACAATAAGCAAAAATTTGAGAGTGAGGGGATAGTAACATGGTAGGATACGACAGTTTAATGGATATCACAAATCATAGTAGGTGAATGCATCTGTTTCGCTGAGAAAGATTTTGAACAATCTCACTTTTATATTCTGAAGTCGTTGGTTCCCTTGACACCCCCCCCCCCAAAAAAAACCCAATCAAGCAGCAGTCCACCCCTCACTAGGTGGCTGGTTCAAACTAACTATGAAATAATTTATAGACTGATAACACGCCTAGATGATTTCACCACCCACCCACCCTCCTAACTCTTTCTCCACATCATCTTATATATAACATTGCCAATAGAGTTAGGCAAATGCTCGAAATGCACAACATGTGCTCCCCAGTCATCTCGACCGATGTAGATTCACAACGTTATTGATTGACTTACTTTCCTTACCTATGAATCTACGCCTAATCTGAATATTGCTCACCATATCATACCAAATTAACAAGGGAGATAAAATGCAAACATCCATTGTCACAGACAGCCAGTCTTTTCATATCTTCCACTTTCAATAGTCATGTATCACAGTCATAGAGAAGAGAACAAACTCGTGCAGAGTAAACACCTCCCGAAAAAAGCTACCCACTCTAGAAACTCCAATCAATGACTTCATCAACTTTAATATAACTTGTTCATCTGACCACGTTGAAGAATTTTTTAAATATCTAATTCTGCCTACACAAAGACTGTTAGTCGATGAGGGAGGCAGTGAATGTGGTTGCTTCTCAGAAGTCTTTGCCACTTTCTCAGCCTATGCAGCTACACATGACTCTTCATCTTACGCCAAACTCCATAATTACTTGCTACATTGCTCCAATTAACACGAAGACAAATAAAAATTTTCAAGTACTTCTACCTCCGGCAGTGGAGTAATACACACAACAAACTGATACTCAGCACAGACACCACACACCTGAACGAAAGATAACTCATGCTGGCAAATATCAAACGCTTATTGTATTCTTTCTGAGATTTCCTCAACAAAATGATTATATAGTAGGGGAAAGGAAAGCAAGGAAACCACAAGAAGCAGAAATGTAAGGTAGAAAACATAAATGCATGAAGAATCGTAGGGTTTAGCAGTACCTGAAAGGGGGACGAGGAGTGAATACACATAATAGGCCACTGCATACGATTCTAGGTCATGTAAACCCTAGGTCTGCAATGAAGCAGTTTGTATATTTCTACATGACTCAAACTACCAGTCTAGCTACTCCAGAAAAATACCATCTTTTCTTCGAAAAACTATTTATATTATTTCCTATCTCTGCTTAAAATTCAACATGGAAGTGAAGTCGAATATGTCTAAAAACCATGGCGCACATATTTTTAACTATATATATATATATATATATATATATATACCGTACTTTGGTTACAAGTATGGAATTTTCAGCATGGATATCTGTAGCCTAAATTTTGCAGGCCGACAATAGATATCAGGTGTGCATCGGCAAGGGACTGAACCTCGGACCATGTGCATGGTCGGCGAGAGTCCTAACCATTGTGCCACTGACGCACACCATTTGTATCTGACGGAGTTCCAAATAACTTAATTGGTCCTCTGGTGTAAATTATATACTTTTTTGTTTTAAAGGCAGTGCATTTAGTGAATCTTGAAAAACGGTAAAATGCAAAAATGACAGATAGCTAAACAGTCAACTAGCCAACTTACCACACCATCGAACTTTTTCCCACACCAATGAACTAGTTGTTTCAGCCGTGTTTTGTATTTCGCCTTTGCACTGCCTTGACTTTCACCAATTAACGAAGAGTATGTGGAGAAAATCACACCTTTTTTAACACGTCCATTAGTTTTACCAGAGATACGTGCATATTTAAACTAAAGTTTAAAAATGTAGGAAAAAACACCAATAACACAAGTTCTTTAATGATTAATATTCTTGTAACCTATTCCTTCCAATAGCTTCTCACAATACACACAAGTAATATCACATCGAAAAACGCACCGTTTACTTGTGACTATCTCATAACACTAAGTATACTTATGTATAACAACAACTAACTGAGAGAATCATGCTGAAATAAAAAGAGCTTTCTCAAGTGTTGATTAGCAGGGATTTGATTCGACTGGTTTCAGGAGTTCATCATGAACTGACATCGATTACAGGACCATATCATGAACTGGCAGAAGTTGGAATTCATGGGCCATTGACCCTTTTCCCAGTGGCTCAATGGTTTACAAGCTCGCCTTGTAACCAGAAGGTCCTGGGTGCGTACTTCGGAAGAGTCCTAAACTATGACGAAACAGCTGTCCAATAGATCCCCAGGTTTTCCAATGGTCTTTTAACCAATGTCAGTTCATAATGAAATCCTAAAAGAGCTTTTAATTTATACAAATGATAAGATTGTAATGCCCTGGTGTGAATGTAGTTCACAGTGTGAACCAACACATTATATTTAATCCATTTTGGACTTCCCAGTTGATTGATTGGACCGAAGTGCTTGGCCTCATGTTGGCATGTCGGTTCCTTGTGCAGATGCTTCAACGATGTCTGATTGCTTAACTTGAAGTGGAAATTGGTAGATGGTGACTAGCAGTGGATTCTACCTAGATGCGCGTTTCATCCTATTTGGGACTCGTCAGCCAATTTGATGTACCTGCATTCCCCAGTGAGTTAGTGATGGTGTTCCTACCGATGCTCGAGCCCAGTAAGCAGTTTCAAACGCCAAAGAGTCATCCACCAGACTACCTGGGCCGCGACATCCACCTCGTGTGCAACGGGTATTAGTAATTATTTAATTCAATCTGGACTTTACCGTTGATGGATCTACACAAGGGAACCGACATGTCAACCTGAGACGAAGCACTTCAGTCCAATCAATCGAAAGGAAAGTTTAAATTTTTATTTTTTATTATTAACCACCATCAATACCTTAACTATGTTTTAAACTATTCATCCCCCAAAACCCCCATTTCTCTAAGAATGAATTATTCACTAGGAGTACATTTTACTTAAGCGATTGTGAATACATGTTTTATTTTCCCTTTAGGCATTTTTGGTGTCTAGTAAAGACTGATATCTCCTACCTTAAACTGGAAATGATGTAAGAAGAAAGATGAGAGACAGACAGAGAGAGAGAGGGACAGCTGGAATGATTCCTCTTGAAGCTCTTAACTGTTTAAAACTTCAAATTTCTAGCCATAATATTAAAGGAAAAACATATTCTACTTTTAAAAATACACAAACATTGATTGATTGATTGATTCAATAATTGTGAATGGATTTCGAATGGTCCAAGTTGAAGAGTTTCTCACCTTGTTTAACGAATGAACTTTGATCTTCCCCAAACCCACGTCACGTAGATCACGTTCAGCGTCAACTTTGAGATCATTGGAAACGGATAGCCAAATGGCCTTTTTACGATGTCGTAAATAATTTTCATACAATATTCCGGCAATGGTGCGACCTTTTCCCACACCTGCCCCGTCGCCTGTAGTGGAGCAAGCAAATGCACCACTTTAAGAAATATTGTTACAATTTTCTTTCGAACAATATCAAATAATCATATGGCTAAATAAAAGTAACATTGAGGGGTAGGGAGGGGGAAATAGTGTTGTTTATTACATAATAAACGGTTTCATTGGCTCATGAAAGGTTCAGGTCAGACAAAGGTCGCATCTCTTTGGATGAAACACACCATGAAGGATGAATAAGTGATCTAAGACAACTTATACTTGAAATGAGAGGTTACTAAGAAATAACAACAGCAAACAACCCATAGATATTCAAGTGTTGGTTTGTAGGGATTTGATTGGTTTCAGGCGGGTGCGTACTGCTGAAGAGTCCCAAACTAGGACGAAACAGCTGTCCAGTACTCCCAGGTTTTCCAATGGTTCTCTAACTACTGTCAGCTCATGATGAAATCCTGAAACCCATAGATATGTTTGGTTTTTTCCGTTAAGTGATAGAAAATTTTAGAGAGCTTTAAAAAATTTCCAACCCGATTACACAATCCCATTTTGATCATTACACTACCAAAAAAAGGTTTTTCTTCAAATCTGCAGTGGCATACTGAGAGTAAACCTTTCTAGCCATTTTGTTTTCATAAGTTCCTTATGAAGCAGCACTAAACATTGAAGCATAAATTTACGTCGAAGCAATCTAAGGCACGAAGAATGAAAAAGCCCTCTAAAACAATCAAATCTCTCTCAACTACATCATAAACTAAATCTCATAAGTGCTCATATTCAGAACTCAACGACAAATAGGCATACGACCATACTGATAGTGATCATAGCAACCTTCCTTTTAGTTTTATTCTTCTGAATTCTCAGTGGAACATAGGGTTTCAAAGCTAGAGCTTTGAAGTTCCAGTAGCACTGATGCCGTTTTCACGAGGTACGGTCGCTAGCCTCACGACCAAGCTTTCATCTTTATCGGGCTTAATCCAAGCTAAGTGAGGTAAAGGAGTGAATCAGCCAGGGATTGAACTCCAGATCAATTGCTTGGTTGTCTAGTTTTCTGCCATTGAACCACCGATGTACCGATGCATAATAACGCTAGGAAGCAGTTTGTGTCAGTTTACCATATCTCCACTTTTTTACTTATATGCAATCATGTAATAAGATAAGAGAGTATATACGCCTTGTAGGAAGTCCTAAATACGTATATGCCGTTAATCAGAACTTCCCACTCCACCGTACAGCTTCACAGGAAAAGAATATGCTTTGGAACCGGCAAACATCGAACTGTGATACAACTTTGTCAATCAATTAATTTTCAGTTCTATGAGAGTAAATAAAGTCCATGCACTAACGGAAAGATTTTTCTTAATTCCATAGGTTTAAGAATAGAATATCCTAAACAAAAGCTGTCTAGTCTGGATGAATACAACGAACATCAAAACGTTTGCACTAGTTACTGAGATGGTAAAAAAATAGCTGAACAGAAGTGTTGTCAACCATTTCCTGTAATTCATCTGTGAACTGTGAATACCTGAGCTTAGACAAATTTACTTATGAAAATCGATAGCAATTTGAAAAAGGCTATAAATATGATTAGGACAATATTTGAAACTGCGTCATATTATGTCGATTAGTCTGTGAGAATGGTATTAAAAATTTAGAAATATTTTTGATACTTAGCAGTGACGTCGTTAGCATTAATCAATCAAGGTGATTCGACAGACTGGTGCACAGTCGTTATTATTACAACAGAAATCCACGATGACCAAATGCAATTAGATATATACTGACTAACTGGATTTCAATATAAAAGTTAGAATAGAAGTGCAGCAGTCCAAGTTGCCATACTTCTTGTAGAACAAAAAGGTAGAGAAACAGATATTCAAAAGAACTATGATAGCTAGAAAAGGATAGAAGGAATAATCACATGTTCAGAATAATAAGGATTGAATGGATCCAAATGATTACGAAGAGTGAATGCATCTGCACCACTAAGTACAAGATTTTAAGCCATTGGTTCTTAGCGTCTCGACGAACCCAGCCAGTCCACACCTCCATACGTGGCTGCTCCAAACCAATAATGCAAGTCTTCATAGATTGATGTCAGGAGTTTCCGTCTGACCACCACCCTAACTCCAATGTCAGCTAACACTGCTCGTTTAGGAAGGTGGTGGTTCGGAATGCGGAACACGTATCATAGCCAGCCACCTCATTTGATGCAGTTTTACAACCTGTTCGATTATCTTTTCTTCCTTACCTAGCACTTAATATGTCTAATTTCAATATTGCTCACTGTTATACACCACTTAACATGGGAGATAGAACGCAGAGACCTACGATCAAAGACAGCTGACGTTTTCACATCTTCCGTCTTCAATGGTCATATCAAACAACAACATACAACTTTGCACCAATGTGCAGCAGTTCTAGTCGCCACACTTCACTCAGCACACAAAGCCAGAGAAGAAGAAGAAGAAAAAGAAGAAAGTGAAAAGAAATGCAAAATATTGACAGAAAACAGGGATATGAAACAAGAAGAATAGTAATATCGAAAATCAATACAGTTTTATTGGGTATTATAAGTCACAACGAGTGAATGCATTTGCACCACTGAGAACGATTTTGAGCCATATCACCAATTGTCTCCAGTTACTGTTTCTTAGCGTCCCGAGGACCCCAACCAGTCAGGATGTCTACACCTTCCCACGTGCCTGTCTGAATGGCTTAAACTAACTGTTGTGGATTTCATTGACTGATCAAGGCATGTTTTGGTTTGACCACCACTGGCTCCTTTCCAACCTGACCCTATCTCAGTCAGCTAATGTTGCCCGTCGAGGAAGGCGATAGCTAGGCATACGTAACACATGTCCTAACCATCTCAGTCGGTGTAACTTCACAATCTAGTCGACTGATTTCCCCTCCTCACCTAGCCTAACCTCAATATTGCTCACCCTATTAAACCACTTCACACGGAAGACTCAATATAAAAAAAAAGAAAATTTATTGTATACTGACTAATTTATAATCCAGTACAGATAAACACAAAATCAACGACACAAGAATTGAGAAATACTACGCTTTGTATTTGCAAAAATCAAAAAGATGATTAGAAAATATACGGAACAATTCTGATTATGGTAGAACATTATTACAAGATAGTAGTGGAAGGAAAAAGATAGCAAAACCGCAGTCAAGGTGAAGCAATTAATACATATAGTTGTTTATTCACTTAAACTCGGTTATCCAAAACAGATCTTTCATATATATATCAGGCTGTGAGCCATACCACTTGTTGTGTGACAGCTAATGATTACTACTACTACTATTAGTCAACTGCCCAGAGTAAAGCAGACAGAGATGGATTTGAACCCACTGCAAACAACTGTGAACTATCCTACCTGGGATTTCCAATAACACATGCAGCGTAGTCATCTCAGAGGACGATGGTGCAAAAGTTTATGCTCTTATCACATATCAGGATATTGACAGTCACCTATTAAACGACCATATTTTACAAAAGGAATATGGAATAAGGTGGACTAATGTGTAACACCCAAACACACACACAAAGCCAACAATGAACAATCATACATCTTATGGGAGAGAAACAGTGAATACCAAAGTAAATTTTTTTCCATCTGTGACTACATGTCATCAGCCATTTATCACCAACCCCAACAGGGTTTAATGATACATTTAGGAAAGTTGAGTGATCAATGCACTTAAATGTTTACTATTATTCGACAAGTACATATAAACCAGTCCCCAGGGCAACAGTTCATAAGTAGACTGGAAAACGTAGTCTGAACACGATATTATTTTTGGGTTATGGTTACACTAGCAGTGGAATCCAGGATGTGCGTCCATCCCCAGTGAGCGAGTGTTCCGTCTGAGACTGGAGCATTTCAGTCAAGCATTACCAATCAACAGGAAATGCGAATTAGCCAAAAGACAAATTATATCTTAAACACTCCTAAAATCTTATACAGCATTTTCCCAGACTCATTCTTAAGGAAGATTAATCACTGTTAAGGTAACCGACCACCTAGGAGAAAGAAATACTCATAGGCAAATGGATGATGAAATCAAGTAAGAACTAGGGGGATACCTGATGTATACACCTTAAGGAACAACAAACTTAGTTTTGGCATGTTTCAGAAAAGACATCGTTCAGTGAGGAGAAGGACTTGTCAGGGATCCATTTCTGCAGAAAACGTTACCATGATACTTCTTGATTAACACAATCGAAATCTACCTTCAAATTAAGAAACCTATGTTGAGAACATCTCTAGTCAGTCATATCCATACTTGGGAACCCAAATGAAGTGACTACACGGTCAGGATTTTAAGCCTTCTTGGATTTCCATTTCCCAAGAACCGAGACAATATAGTAAAAACCAGCGGTGGCACAGTGGTTAGGACTCTCGCAGACCATGCACATAATCCGGGGTTCAATCCCAAGCCGACGCATACCTGATATCTATGGTCGGCCTGCGAAATTTGGGTTACTGATATAACATGCTGAAAATTCCATACCTGTACAAAAAAATACGGTGTGGAATCAAGCTGTAATCAAAAAGAAAATTTTAAAAAAAAGTACCAAAAAAGCACTGAGAATGAAAACAACGCACTAACCAGAGTAAACTCTTAAAATGAAATTGTTTTTAAATAAAGATGTTTGAAAACAGAAGAAAAAGAGGAATAATGAAGGAAGTATGTAAAAAAACAACAACAAAAGTGGGGCAATGGAAACGCGAGGAGTGTCATAATCAACTAACAAAAATCACGTTTTTGCCAGATAAGTAGATATTAATTTCTAACATTCGCAGTGACAACTGGGTAGCCTACAGGAACGCAAAAGTATGCCTGAGTACTACTTTCCAATTATTACACTCAAATCAGGATGCAAACTGCAGTTGAACCATATTTTCAGTTGGAACTTACCATCTTGTCAAATGAATTGTCTACTCTCTATATACAATATTGTATACCCAACATTATAATCACTTAGCACAGCCTCACCAAAAGCAGTTAATGCATGTAATCACCAACACTGGTGTAGAATGAGACAGGAGAAACTGCTGAAAGAGCACGATACAACACCAACATATCAATGAGCGGTTGGTGATTAACAAGTTGAGTAGATTTCCAAAAGCTCGAATTTGCAGACACTTCGACTCAGTTGATTCAAATTCACATGAATATGGAATAAATGCACCATTGGATGATAGAAGATGCTTGCAAGTGTAATGAGGTTAATTTCGTTGATAAAAAGAGCTTCTTCCAAGCATAAATTACCTAGCAACTAAGATGAACCACTGGAACTGAGCAGAACAAAACATACGGCATATATCAAAAGTGAACAACATACCAATCAAAAAGCCAGCTCGTTGACCATTGGGTAAGATGCACTCGTGACGTTGACAGGCATACACCACTGCCTCCAACTGTAATGCTGAAAGACATGCACGGTCGATTACTTCATCTGGCAGACATAGGCGGTAGTGTATATCTGGAGGAGAAACGCTGGATAGGGAACTTGATTCAACTACAGGATCTGGATGTTTTCGTCCAAACTTTACTAAAATGATAAAACAAATTACTGAACTGCGATGCCATTTAACGTGATGTGCATTAATTTGCAATACATTGCCGTTTATCTAAACAAACATCATATCGTGACTTACCTCAACTAGACAATGAAAAATGGACGAAATGTGACTTCATATAGCTCAGAAATAAGACGTACTACGGATTCTAGGTTTTTTTTAAAAACTGTTTAAGGTTTTCTTCAGAACTGACATCCTCTTCATCATTACAATTTTGAACCAGAGGTCCTTCCTTGTATTTCCTTCGAAATCAGGTTGACACTCGATTATCTCAGTAGCATGCGAAATGCACACAAAACCTCTCCAATCCGAAATGCATGCGATATGTATGTTCGCACACACGTTTTATTTCATTCACATCATTATAAGTATTTTCATTCCTTTACGTTCCCAGGCCTTCAAGCTAGAGCTTTGAAGTTTGGGCACCAGTAGTATTTATATTTACAAGATGGGGTTGTTAGCCTCATGTCCAACCTACCTTCTTTACCAGTCTTAGCGAGGTATAGGAGCGCCTCGTCGGTCAGGGATCGAACCCCAAACCATCTGCGTGGTTGGCAAGCATTTCACCGCTGTGCCACCGACGCACCTTTATAAGTTGCGAAACACTAAATTTCACCTTGATTCTAAGAACTACTGACTGACTGGTCGATATGAGTAGTCGAATATATCACTCACACTAACCAGTAGTGCTTGCTTGCCATCGGATAGTTGTTTCACTTGTTTGAAGTCGAGCTCCTTAGTCGTGCACCCAGTTTAAAACAGATCTCCAAGCTCAATTTTTTCAAACCAGCCGAATTCTGATGAAATACATAATGCATTATAGTAGTTGCATTACCTAAACCTTTAACACAGTGGAAAAGTTAGCCTACACATTACGCAACTTATACACCAGGTTTCAGATTACAACCCTGAATCCAAATAACAAATAAAAATGAAGAAACTAAGCAAGAGAGAATCCCATGAAGTGCCAGTGATAAGATGCTTAACCAAGACTTCCGTTAAACACCTTGACATATATCCATCCTGCTTCCTTTTTTAAATAAACGCTGAATCTCCTGACAGTATTTATTATAATCAAAAAGTGAACTGAAGGGAATACAGAAGGAATTATATATATATATATATATATATATATATATATATATATATATATATATATTTATAAAGAGGAGAGGACTATTGTATGCAAAACTACCAGACATCAATTCTCCTAATGCTGGTCCTGTAGCATACACAAATATTAATGTTGCACCACGCCAGCAACACATAAAACAATTCAATGAGTGTTGCTTTAGAGGCTTAGGTGCATTTATTGAATAAATCTGTTAGCTTACATTTCAATGGAATGTAATCAGCATAGGTTTCCGCTTGAGCTAGATCTTCATCTTCATCCATATCTTCATCACGCTTTCAGAAAAAAAAGAGATAGAAACTGATGAATTTTTCGATTGTTTATATGCGGAAGAAAAGAAGAAATTCAAAAACCAACACAGCTGGAGAAAAACACACACTTGCCAAGGATAAAAAAGAAGGGCTATAAGCAGAGAAAAGCATGGGAGAGATGGCTACAAAGTGGCACAGATATGTCCATTCCTTATAATCTCAAAGGATTTCAGTCTTTAACAATAGATCTGAATACAATTACTTCTTGGCAAATACGTGATATAAGGAAAACATCATTAACTCACAAATGGGCTTCACGTACAAAGTGTTTTTTAACGATAAGAACGAAAAACTTGAATCCAACAAGAAGAAAATAACCGATATTAGTAAAATTATTCGTTATGACAGCTGGATGTATTCCATGTTTGTTTACTAATAGAGGTTGATAAAAAGTCAGAATGCAGTATGAACTGGTGTGAACTCGATGACAAACAACAAAGCCAAAGACTACAATGAACATTGTGATACGCTGCAACATTGCTAATTGACAAAACCTCTGTGGTTACAGTTGAGAAGCGTAGGAATATTTCACTGATAACAAACTTAATGGATCCCTTCCAAAGGAAATCCCAAATTGTCATAGTTTAAAATAATAAGCCACATTAAAATATCACTAGCCCTCGGTATCTTTTAAACAAGGGAAACATTTAAGCTTTAAGATAAGAATGAAAATGATTTGATTATTTAAACCTTAATAGGAAATTAATACTGAAGATGTTAAAACGCCAGTGATCAAATAACAAAGTTAGTAGACCAAAAGGTTTTTTTCTAGCTATGTTGTTCAGGATACTCCCTTCTTCTATAAAATGAGTTAAAATTCACTTATCTTCAACAGATTTCCCTCCTACAAGGTCAAGAGTTACACTTACTGTGTGAAGGTTGACAGTGATGCCTAACTACATAGGCAGAACTATTAGGTAGAAACGGAGTCACTCCCAAACCAACAGTTGAAGATAGTGGAATGCTGAAGTTGGTAGACTGCGTCTTTTTTATGGGGTAATGTGAATGATGGACAAACCTAGAATGGAACTCGTCATTAGCAATACAAACGCTAACTAGATGATTGCCAGTAAGAATGAACTCTTAATATGACTTTGAGCGATAAAAACATCCAGAATTAGGCTGGAATAGCCACTAGTACTGATACTACATAAATACAATAATAAAACACAGTAATTGGTTGCGAACGAAACAACCAAGTTCCAAAAATTGCGCAAATCTTAGTTTGCAATGGATGATGTGGACTACTATGGTATCTAACCCAAAGTTCAGAAAGTATCACACTTCTACTTGCAGTAAAATCAAAATTATGGGTAATAACTCCAGATGGAATAATATGGTGAGTAGTACTGAGTTTAGGCGTAGTGTTACATAAAGAGAAGTCAATCGATGAATTTGTGAAGCTACGTCAACTGACATGACTAGGACACGTGTTGCTCATGTTGAGCCACCGCCTTCCTAAACGAACAATGTTTTATGACATAAGATTACGTTGGAAAAGGGTTAGAAGTGGTCAAGTCAATACAAGACATTACATTATGAAGTCAGTGACCGTTCGTTTGAGCTGTGTGTGGTACACACTACCTGACTGGAGTTCTCGAGACGCTAAGAACCAACCGCTTGAGACTATAAGTGATGTGGCTCAAAATCGTATTCAGTAGTGCGGACGCATTCACTGTTTTTAGTTCTCCAGAACCATTAAATTCTTATTGTTCTCCAGGTAATTATTCTTTCCTCCGTACGTCTCTGCTTGTCACAGGTCTTTTGGATTTTTTTCTACTTCGCTAAACTTGTAGGTTATATGCACTGTGGCAACTTGAACTGCGGCATTTTTGTAAGAAGTCCTAATTTAGATTTATTAAAACTACTTTGAATCTACCACTGATTCATTTTCTGACAGAAATTCTCGGTCTCTGTTGATGTGTCGACATCTTTGGCTACTAGTGGAATCCAGAAAACATGTTTCATACTACCTGAGACTCACGAGTCGCATATACGTGCATCACGTGACTTTCGTGGCTAAGTCCTGCATACGAGTTAACCGATATATGTCATTCCTCAAAACCGGGAATAGGAATTCACATAAAGAAAATATTAATATGAAGTGAAACCGGTAAAAAAAATAAGTTATCAACCGCATAAAGCACAGAGAGGAAGTATGAAGCGTGAAGACTTACTTTTATCACTGGGTAAGGTCTGGGAGTTTGCTGGACATGATTAGGCAGTCGAAGATTGTGAGGTAATGATGGCCGTGAAATATTTGGAGTTTGGTACCAATTATTCAAACTTGTTGGAACAGTAGATACACTTGGAAAAGCGGAATTGGTCTGACCACCGACTTCTCCATCCATATGACTTTGGGATGCTACACGTCTCACCTTCGAAATCGGTTGACTGGTTTCGATAAGCGAAGGGGGCCGCTTTCTTATGATGTTTGGTAGATGTGTAAGCGATGGGGAAGCCATTCGACTATTATCACCCGGTTTTTTTAATAGATGACTAGCTATTAAAGGAGAATGGGCCTGAGCAATAGGTGAACTGCTACCATTAGCCGATGGCATCACCCTGAGGATAGTAGTTCCTCGAGAACTAAGAACTTTTACGTTAGGATTTGCGGTGATTGAAACTGAAGGAGGATTGCTAAAAGTCTCTTGGGGTTTTAGAGAGGCTGGCGCAATGCCTGCATTTATGAGTGCACTGAGTATTATATCATTTTGAGAAGTAGTGGCAACTTCATTAGGCGGTTTAGTTATAGTTGGTGCTGAAATAACCTTTATACCAGCATTCGTGAAAGTCTCATTAAATCCAGGCTTTACGTGGTCATCCGCGACATTAACCGAAGCATTTAGATTACTGGAAGGTTCTTCAACGTCTGCGTCAAAATCCTTAGTAGCAAGACCTTTAAGTGCATCCTCGAAAATAGAGACAGGATCCATTTCACTAAAAGAAAGAGAACCAATTGTACTGACTAATAACACAAAGCCAGAATGACTTAAAAATCATCTCAAAAACACAATATTCAAATCTGGAGGTAGTTTAATACTAAGTAATACTGTTGTAATGAATAGGTGCTTCCCCCATGAACCAATTCTGGATTAATCAAATGCCCTCAACTCCTGACCCACCATACGTAACAATTACTTTTTCAAAAATATGTATAATTGGCCCCCAGACAACAAGTACAAGACTCAAACCCCACCCTAACTACTTCAGTTCGGGGAAAGGTAGTGCAGTTAGTCCCGACACTATGAGTGGCTCTGAAACCGATACACGGTAGCTGTATTCTGGGTATCTGAGATATCACTTAAAACAACAATGATTGCCTCTGCGGCTTACTGTTGCGACCCTCGCATTTGTAATGGTTGCACGAAGTCTCATAGAAACTGTCATTAGAAGCCATACGGTCAGGCCAAATTTCTGACGCTAAACGAAACATTCTACGACAAATCCCTGCATGTTTTGGTTCTACTATGACAAAAACTTGTTTCGTACACTGAATGAATACTTAGCCATCCCAAATCCTAAAACTATACTTCAAGCTTAATGTGACCGACCTTTTTAAGTGTTTTTCTGGTCACCCCTAACCAATCGTCTGAATATACGTCACCAAAACCATATACTATCATAGATGGTGAATTAACATCAGCTTTGATGAAAACAGAACTACATATCTAATTTCCGAAAAAGCCAGATAAGCCTTTGCTTCACTTCACATTTGATTATACCATCTGAAGTAGTTATCTAAAGTCCCGTCAATTGGATTTTGTTGACCGCTGTTAAAACCGTTAGAAAAAAAGTCAAAACCTTGTATCCTTCAAGTTAACGGAGAAAAAATCCGATCATACGAAGAATAGCATCAATACATGCGAGTGATGTTTTACACTGAGAACGAAAAAATTATGCAGTTATTTGAATACACCAAAGTGCTATTAGTCGGCAAAACAAATAGCTACCCTGCCAAGCAGTAAAGGACAATAAGAAAGGCTAATATCGAAGTAAACTACATACATGCGAAGTGTGAGAGTACCTGGCTCAGTTAACAATTTAATCGGTCGCTGCTTGTCCCCTTGTTCTGAAAATTAATTTGTAATTCACACAATAGAAATTCGGTACTGTGGAATTCAGTCTATTGAGAATTAGAACAATCTTAAGAAAATTCCAGGTGGAAGTGGTCAAAGTATGTCTTACGATCAGAAAATGTCAAAAGCCTAACTGCAAATCATAGTCACTCAGATCTCTAACTAAGGCTGAGACGAAATAAACGCAATACGGTTTCGCAAATATTCTAAACATGAACCACAACAAGCTAATAAGTGCTTACGCTATCACCTTTTCTCATCAGACATCAAACACACGCCTCACAACTGAATGGTCAATTACTTAAGAACCACTAGCTGCAGACTAAATATCTCGATACCATCAATGTTTATGCTGATATACCACTTAGGGGAGAATCAGGTGATACTTCTTTCTTAACAATATTCAGATGCACAGAAGACAGTGCTAGCAGCTTCAGGCTCAGCACTGGGATCCCGTCGAACAACCACGAATTTTAGTATGATTCACAGGAACATGCCTATATCGACTAGTTACAGCTGGTACATCTGTTGCACAGGGGAAAATTAACCCAACGCAGCCACACTAAAATGAAAATTATAACTGCCATAATAGGAATTTGATTAGCGTAAGGAAGTATTGCAGCACTTCACGAAATCTTCCATTATCTTCAGTCTTCGGAAGAACGACTTCCAATACTTATGGCGAATAAATACTCAAATCTTCGTACAACTACATGAGCATGTACCACTAGCCTATAACAAACTGCCTTGAAAAGACTTTTATGAAGTCGCTGCACAAAACTTCTTATATGTACGATTTTGCCTTTCAAGACAACAAATATATATGACCACTACAATATTGCTTGAATTTAAGTTCGGAAAAATTTTCATTATTACAGTACTAATGGCTTTAACATAGCCACTCACACTCGCATCTCACGTAAGCACGGACAAGACCAGACGTGAGCCTTGCCGCCGTCAGCGAGAGACTAAGTCAATTCATGGCTACTGTCAACATTGTACACTTAAACAAAATGCATTGGACAAAATTATTGAATTTTTGATTCACTCTGTTTTAGCGATGAAAGAGTCACGAAATACTCAGGGGCGATTGAGAAACCTGTGCATTACATAGTTACTATCAAAAACGGCTTATATAAGTTTGAAATAATGTGATAACAACTGAGAGTTTACAAACACATCAAGCTTGTATAATGGTCTTTAAATATTGATAAAAGAAGGCAAAATATTTATTGAGGTGAAGTTCGGTCACGTGTCTTTTTTGATCATAGCTTGACTTCACACAGTATTTTCGGTACAAGTATGGAATTTTTAGCTTGTGATATCGGTAGCCCGAATTTTGCAGGCCGACCATAAATGTCAGGTGTTCGTCGGCAGGGGGTCGAACTCCAAACCATGTACATGGTCGGCGAGAGTCCCAAACGCTGTGCCACTGACGCACAGTGACAAGTAGCAACCAGGCTTTTACTCTGGTTACAAAATGAACAGGATGAACTAGCACTATTAGAATGAAAACCACAGCAAACACTTAACAGGAGGTAGGCACTAGAATCTTTCAATGCAATTATTATGTTCGTATTCTCGATCAACCAGTCGTCCTCCTCGATATCAGTTGAAATCATTAGGCCTGCATGTCTTCCATGGTTTACACACCGGCATTTTATAAGCGTGAAACCGATATTTGTTGGAAGGCTTTTCCCAACTATATCGAAATTTCATCATGAGTGCGTCCACTGGGCTAAATATAACGTTTGGACTGACGAAAAGTTTCATTCCTTCGTAGAAAAATGGAATGTTTTTGATACCCATTACTATCACGGATCAAAACGTAAATGCGCCAGTAAACATTATGTTTACAATTGGCGATGAACGGCTGGCCTAAGTAGTTCACTTTCGTTCAGAAAAAACCTAAAGTGGTTCTCATCCCATAATAAAGCGAGAATTAGAGCCGAATGCATTTGGTTGGTGCTACGTCGAATCAGTGAGAAAGTTACCTGGCTTGAGCATTATCCACCTTTCAAGATGAATATGAATCCTGTTGACGACTGTCGACATACCAGACGGATATTCAAGAATATTATCATTCTTTACAGCACCAATAAAATGTACCTAGTGTTTTCAACTTACCGCAGGCAAACAGCACACAGTTTCATTCGACTTCGTTCCCTCAACTTAGTTATGTGTATTTGCCTGAGCTATAGAAAACGGGCGAAGTTAAACTTTCGACACCACTAACCACCAATCAGCGAATTATCCAATGAGATTCACGAACGATGTCGAATTATCCAATGAGGTTCACGAACGCAGTTCAATGTTGTATAGCGCTTGATTCATTTCTAATGCGTGACCTTACAAGGTTATTGTTGCAATTCGAGGTTAGCGTTTTCCAGTATTTCCTGGATTTGAGTTGCGCCGGAAAGAGCGAATTTGTTTGTGTGGTGGTATCATGACTTTAAAAAGCTATACCAAATCAACTGATTGGTTTGTTCATCGTTGTGCTATATGTTTTTAAGCCTACTAACGCTTGAGAGGGTAAGCTGATAATTTTAATATTTCGTAGGAACCTTTTTTCGCTAGGTCGCTTCTCTCCCTAAGTATAGCAGATAGAAAAGCAACTACTCTTATACCTATTATTACCAGACTTGTTAAGCGGGGGTCAATTATACACACCGACGAGTGGAAAGGCTACAATTCACTGTCATCTCTGGGATATATTCATCATAGAGTCAACCATTCAAGTGATTTTGTGGATCCCGTTACGCGGACACATACAAATTCTATTCAAGAATTTTGGGGCAGGTTGAAAAATAGGATAAGGGCTATAAATGGACCTCATTTATGGTCATTTGGATGAATATATGTACGGGATGTGGTGTAACTTCTCCATTGACAGTCCCATGCTAAACTGGGAGATGTTTCTCTCACATGTTCGAGAAAGATATCCCATGTGACTGTTTTATTCTCTATTTTATGCCTCTTTCTACAAATATACATTTCTATTCATCATATATGCCTCTTTAATGTGATTGGTCCGTTCACGTTCGTTTGCTGATTGGTTGTTAGTGGTGTCTAAAGTTTAACTTTGCAAGGGAACGCTCTGTATGTAAATCAAATCGCTATAACTAAATAACCTCTGAAAAATATTTGGACTTACAGCTTAAAGACCATCTCATTAAGTTTCTGTTTATTTAAATGCCATAGTGTCACATCGTCTTGTTACATACGTTCTAGTTTTCCCAGTCTCATAGGCATTCTAACTATTCTCTGTAGACCACATCTACTTTGCCTATCATGCGATTAAGAAGCCATCTACTCACAGCAAGTAAAGAGTTGCGGTCTCATTAATTTCTTGACCTAGGTATAAAATAACGCTGGGTCTATTTAATAGACCCATCCTACGAATGCCTATGGCTTCAGGGAAACTAAATGGCTCCATAACGCAAGCACTGTAACTTAGTGGTTGGGTCACGCCAAACACCGCCTTATCGTCGAAGAAAGACTATCGTATTGACACCTATTCGGCAAAGACAAATGTGAAGTATCATGATCATTATCACAAATATTCAATTTACCATCATCTATCTGGTCGACTTCATCATTTTCAAACTCTTTATTAACAGCAGTAGATGATTTGGGTTCTTCCCCACAAATCCCTAAAGATTTTATACCTTCACTCTGACTAGTAATACCTCGTAAACTTGTGGAGTCAGAACTGGACTCTGAGACTGTAACTCTCTTCTGTGGCATACTACTCAACAATGGCTTACTAATTGCAACTACAGAATTCATGACCGCACTGTTATCGTCACACAATTCGGAGTCCGACCTGGATTTCACATTTAGCTTATCACTGAACTTGCTCACTGGTTCACAGTTCATCTTTGTATGCACCTCTTGCAAACGTGTAAAACACAACCGTGCTTGCCTTGAATCTTGTAACTTATCTGTTGAGGATGTACTACGAAACCTGTTACACTCACTAGGTCTATATGCATTACTATACATCATGGAGTCTTCTCGATATCCACCTCTCTGAGGCCTACTCGTCATCAATGATTGCATTTTACCCTCAGACTGCTCTATTCTAGGGGTGAGGCTGATAAAGGCTGATAAATTGATTTCTGAAGATGAAATGCACAATTACGAGCTTACAACATGAATGTTTTCCACGTCTTACAAAATCCACCACAGGAATATTCCTACATATCAGGTGTTAAAATGAAGGAGCTGATAATCCTTTCAAACAACTGGTTACCTACTGGTATTGGCTGGTTTTATTTATCACGTACTGTTGAAGTTCCGCTTGGAAATTTTTTTTGCCGACAATTTTTAATAAAATTGTGTTATATGTTATCTAGATTGAGGGAAATTCCCATTTTTGGCTAGTTATGTTGGTGTCCGCGTCATGTGGTCTGACTGCGACACACTTTTAGCATCTGGGTTGCAATGATTAGTGTTTCAGGCGGACTGTATCAAAATATAGGTGTAATGAGGAAGATAGGATAGTTAGAGGGTAATGCCATTTACACAAATCGTTTACTCCATGTAGAAGCTGCTTCTTTCGGCATAGTATCATCCAATGAAGACTTCGAAGTCTTGATGACATGATCATGTCACAGGATATCAATACAACCTATTTTCGTGTGAAGAACAGTCTTTTTTGACAAAGTAATTCTCTCAGTACTTGGAAATCACCTGCGAATGCTATCAGAATCGTTTGTGGGAACCTAAGTTATCATTTAGATGTGCTTTTCACTCTATCTGTGGTTGGACAGGAATTATGGTAAGTTAAAAGGTTATCTCTAAGTGGATTTCGTGTATATTGGCACTGATTGGTGCAGTGTGCTATGGGTTATGTGAATTAAATGTACAAAAATATCTCAACTTTAATAATATTGTGCCATTGTCTACTTAGCTGACTGATAGGATAACAAACGAAGGTGGTTGTCACGATTATTGCAAGTACAGTGCAGTGGAGAAGGCAATTACTCGTTTAAGTTTCCTTGTTGTTCCAATTAATGCACTAAATCATTACACGGTATGATTACACGCATGAGTCGCGGTGATTATGAGAACTGAATCTATTCAGCTTTATTATCATTATTATGAATCTATTGTCTGGTTTACAATTTCCACTGACTGTATACTTAATTTTATTTTTTTTATTTTTGATTTACAGCTTGATTCCACACTGTATTTATGGTACAAGTATGGAATTTTCAGCATGGATATCGGTAGCCCAAATTTTGCAGGCCGACCATAGATATCAGGTGTGCGCCGGCTGCAATATTTTTGATCACCAATAGTGGAGATGAATTTCCCCTGAGATTTCCATTTAGACAAAGCAGTACAGATGCGCTGTGACGATTGCATTTTCTAGCTTGTATTATATGACATTATTATCCTCATCAACACAACAGGTCTGTGTACTTTACAATAGTTTAAGTGTTTCTCTATGTCGTTAACACTGCGCATAGCTGTTTGGAGTTCAGGCATGTTCAGCTTATATTTGATGCCTATAGTCTCCTAAATGTGAAAATGTGATTTCTGTAGGATTCACAAAACCTTGCGGACTAGACTGAGATTGTGGATTAATTTCTAAGTTATACATTTGCAATACTTCATTTCATGTAAAAGTATTTAGCGTGAAGTTGATCTGCAAGTAAGCTTGATGAGAGAATGACGCCTCAATAGTATGGATGTTCCGGAGATTGTCTTGAAATTTGCGTATAATCCTCAAATACAGGAAAACATATGATGTCTATTTATGCATACAGCGTCAACATAAATATCACCTGTAGACTACAGATACATTTATCTGCATGAGATATTACTTAGTGTTAACAGAATCAGTGTATTCATAGTATATGCTAATATGTAGAATTATCTCTTGTTAACTTCATGTTATGCTAGT